AGAGAAAAAGAGAAAAAAAAAAAAAAAAAAAAAAAAAAAAAAGGAGAGAGAGAGAGAGAGAGAGAGAGAGAGAGAGAGAGAGAGAGAGAAGGAAAGAAATAAAAATAAAAAAGAGAGGAGAGAAAACTAAAGAGAAGGAAAAGAAAGGAAAAAAACATAAGAGAGGAGAGAAAACTAAAGAGAAGTAAAAAAAGAGAGGAGAAAAGAGAGAAGGAAAAGAAATTAAAAAAGAGAGAGGAGAAGGTAGACGGAAAAGAAAAAAAAAACAAAAGAATAAAAAGAAACATTATAAATATCAAAAGGCATAGTATATAATCACAAAGTTGTATCTAGCATGGTGGATAAGGTGTTGGAGAGTAATGAGGATGGTGGGGGTTCAAAACCCCATATGTGTGTTTTGAAGTATCTATTTCTCTATATTTTTTCGCAGGTTGGCGTGTTAAAGGAAACAGGGGTATATAAAAAAAAAAGAAAAAGAAGCAGAACTTGGGAAGAGCAACGTTGGGGCAGCCCATGCATTGAATCCCCCATCTGTTGGTTTCTTAAACAACCAAAATATAGGACATGATGTTTGACAATAAGTAAAAAATAAAAAAAAAGGGGTTTGCTACAGCCATCAAAAAGAGGAAGAAAAGTCAAAACAAAAAAAAAGAAGGAAGAAGGTGGCTGACGCCACTTTGTTGAAGATTGGAAGAAAAGATAAAAAAAAAGGACATAAGAAACTTCTTGTTGCAGAGAAAAAAAAGTGGAAAAAGACAAAAAAATTCTGAAACCTCTTGATATGTTGCGGCAGTTTTTCTTCTGGTTTTCTCTCTTTGTTTGTAAAGGCTCTGTACTTATTGTGACTTCGTGTACTCTTTTAAAGACTGAACAGTAACAATGTTTGCTCTTAATTCGGACTGATCACAAGTATTCCAGATAAATATGGGACTGCAAGGTCTGATTTTACTTAGAAACAAACTCTACAAACAGTTAGATATCTACCAGGTTGTTTCAATCGCTTGCTGGACCAAAGCTCTTCTGGGCTCCTTGTTCGTGGGCCAACTATCAACAAATATCAAAGGCCCGATATAGAAAAATGGGCTGTAAAAAATAATTGCCCCATTAACTCTCAAAAATTCATAGTATTTAATAGGTGATTCAAATAATTACCCATTAAATTTACATAGGCCTAGATTTCCTATCATATGACAATTTTTCCCATAGGTCATCTACCTATAAAAATCCTCAAATCGTCTCAAAGACACAAACTCTAAATTATTGGGCCACACTTACCCATTAATTTTCAATTTTTCCCATAGGTCATCTACCTATAAAAATCCTCAAATCGTCTCAAAGACACAAACTCTAAATTATTGGGCCACACTTACCCATTAATTTCTAAAATTTGGAACTACGCTGGTTTGATCCCATCAAGGGTACGTAGGCAGTCTAGCATCCCAATAGACGCAACCAAATCCCCACAAATCAAATATCTACCTTTACACAAATCAAGTCCGAACTACGTTGGTTTGATCCCTTTGAAAGGGTACGTAGGCAATCTAGAGATTCAATCTAGATGCAACCATCCCAAACACAACTCCATATCGAATCCCTGGCTTATTCAGCTAAATTCACTCAAACACCCCTCAATCAAATTCAGTCAAATTCCCCCTTTTTTGCAATGAGTCATCTATTCATTGCGAATCTTTGAACTACGAGTGGCTTGATTCTCGCAAAGGATACGTAGGCACCCTGAGGTTGAACTTGGGAGCAGCCGCAAAACCAAACACATACATTCTGTTCCTTTATGATGGAATCAAAGGGTTTTTCTTTGTAGCAAGGGATTGTAATTAAGAGACTTGCGTCTCGAATGGGTCGAACCTAAAATAATAAACCCCATTAATTGATTAGTGGTGGTGAAATTATGTTTAGAGGTTTACAATTTTTTCTTCAACACGTAGCTGTGGCAACGACTTATCATCCTACAGCGTAGCGGTCCCATGCATTAGGAACGTGATTGACAAGGCTTTAAGTCTTCACACCAATGTCTTGGAAAAGGTTTTTCTCATTAAATTCTGGCTGATAAGTCGTTGTGGTTACCTATTCCCTTTAAATTCTGGCTCACAAGGCACTAATTCAATCTATACGAAATTGACAACCGGCTTAATTAGGTAGTTGTGGTCACGTCACTGTCCTGTATTGATGACTGGAGTTATGGATACATCTTTATTTTTCTGGTCATCTTCGTATGTCTCTACATACGAGAATATATAAAATGAAATACGTACAATTTGTGGAATATTCTTAATAATGACGGCCGCCATTGTGACGGCGACATGAAGTTGTGGCAGGAAGGAAATGGGCTCAGCTCAGCTCAGCTGGATATATGAATCAATCAATGTGTCAGTGTAATATAACAATGACTTGCCATATTCTCGGTCAGTTGTATAAAACCATACTCTTCTATTATATCAAGATGTAAAATATTGGAAAATTATTGAGGAAAAAGAAAAGGCAAGAATACAGTTGGGCTGAAAATTCTACCCCTTCCGTCTCCAATTCATCAAAGACTTTTCAATAACTTCTACTTTCCACATGATTCAACATCACTGGGGCTTCATCACAACTTCCTTCAATAAAGGACAAAGTTGACTCCGACCTTGACACTCCTGTCAATTTATGAGTACATCACAATCCTGACCAGAGCAAACACGCCAAACTCGGCCTAAGGGCATATTATCTCACCTAAACCCGTCTTATTTACACATTGTAGAAGGAGGTGATCGTGATCATCAGGAAGAGGTTATTGATTTGATTATCAAAATGCCTTCCTTCAATCTCAATGTGTTGATGACCCTTGTGCTTGGCTTACTTAGCCTTAGCAGTTTGAGTGAAGCTGAATACCGCTACCACGTCTGTTATAACACAACCAGTTTCACTCCCAACAGCACCTACGAATTCAATCTTAAACTCCTCCTCTCTTCTCTCACCTCCAACGCCACCCGTGAACTCGGTTTCTACAACACCACTGCCGGCTCCCAAGATCCCAACGCTGCAGTTTACGGTTCCTTTCTATGCCGTGCTGATCTCACATCCGATGCATGCCAAGATTGTGTAGCCACCGCAGCCAGAGAAACGGTCCAACAGT